TATATATATATATATATATATATATATATAAAATGTATTTCTTGCTCCTGCTTAGGAGTCTCTTTGAACTGCTACAATTAAGCTAGTTCATTTTCTAAAGGGAGCACTAAAATAAGGAGTTTTGCAGGTACTTCTCTTCCAGTGCTCTCACTCCTATCATTTCATTATTACTAGATTAGCAGTTATCCCAGAAAACTATTGCATTACCAGTAAATATACTAGCTTTATTCTAGAGCAGTGGTGCTCAACCTTTTGTCCCCACGGGCCAGATGAGTGGTGCGTGTGTGGCCAGTCTGTGCGCCAAATTGAGCCCCGTGTGCCAGGATCTGACCCTGGACCCATACTGTCTCCTTCTTTCCCCTCCCATGAGGATTGGGCCCCAGGCTTGGCATTTCTCCCTCCTGGCCTCCCTCTCTCACTCCAGGATTGGGTCCTGGGGCCCAGCATCGCCTCTGTCCAGCCTTACATGCTGGGATTGGGCACCAAATGCAGCATGCAGGACCCAGGGCACCCCATGAGTCTGAAAATATGGCAGCAGGGGAACAGTGGGTGCTACCACTCCCCCACTTCCAAATTTCTGGATCTGTAAGGAGTTCTGTGGACTGTGTGACATGGCACTGGAGGCTGAAGCTGCCCTGAGAGCCAGGGCTTGAGCATCCCTGTTCTGCAATAAGCTTCTAACCTAAATTCTAGCAAGAAATCATGCTTGGAGTCTGGGCGGGAAGAGAATTACAAAGCTTGCACGTTGTGTTAAAGCAGTTTGATACACTGCAGACCTGTTACAATGGCAGTTGTTCATTTTTTGCGTCTGTACTACTGTACAGTAGCAGACGGACTCTTTCCTCTCAAAGGAGACTAATTTTCTTTGTCAGCATTAATCAAAACAAGAGGTGCTAATGAGTGCAGTGCACAGAGAACATTGTAAAAAATGCCTTCCAGTTGCATGTGTGAGAATTATCTAAATCTGACTGTTTGAAACAGATTTGCTCATTCACTTGCATGATGTTCTGTTTTCAATTTCGAAATCCTTTTCTAAAGCGTTCCTTCCTCTGTACAGCAAGAAGACTCAGATATGTAGTTGTCTCTTCCTTTTCGGAGACAGCCACAGAAAGCTGAATAATTCGTGTTTAAATTGGTATTAATGCATTCTAATTTACAGCTCATGACTCTATGGTAATATTTTTGGTGATTTTTAGCAGCACATTCAAGAGTGAACAATAGATGCATATAACAATGTTGCCTCTAAATGTTAACACAAGGAAACTCTCCATATTCCAGAATGTCTGTGCGTGTTCACACACCATGTCATTTTGTTTGTTTCTGACATTGCTCCATCTCTCCCACCTCCCAGTGCCCTTTCCCATCAAGAAGGTCTCAGCACACTGATGATAGTGCCTTGTTAGTGGTAAGAACCCTGCACGTATTGGCCATTTTCCATGGCAACACCATAGAGTTAGCATGAAGTTGTGACTGGCTCAGACTAGACAGGCTTTCTAGAGTTAATCTAAATAGCATAAAACATGGCAGTCTTCTCTGAGTGATTTTTTTTTTTTTTAATGAATTCCAATGCTGAAACCATACAATGAAATTTTCATGGCATTGCAGCTGCCATGCATTCACTGTTACTTCACTGTTTTTTCCCTTCCCATGTTTGCAAAAGCTAAACTGTTTTAGTAAGAGGGAAATGAAATAATGCTGATAGTGAACACTTCCTAGAACAGTCCTTATCTCGTTAGTCCAGGTTAGGACAGCATCTATTTGGCTTATAGCACACTGCCTAACACTTCAGCATTACTGCATTCATCTAAAGTGCGGAGGGGTAGCCTCCTCTGTTCTGTTTGCATACCAGCCATTGCTTATCTGTTAGATCCAGTGTCTCGGTGATCATAGACTGTCATGAGAGAAGAGAAAGCTGCCCTATACAGACTCTAGAGATCACAAAATATTCTGTGGTTGCTTCTGTTTTGCTGCTTCTCAGTGATGATTTCATTGACATCTTCAGTCTGGGACACTTACAAAGTTTAAACATTTCTAGAGCACTTCATTCATGTTTTATGCTATTTCTTTTTTCCTGGTATCTTAGAGATTTGTAGTAATGAAGGAGCGTAGTTAATTCAGTAGTTTCTGCCTTTTGTTGCCAATATAAAATGCATCAGATCTGCCTGCCGTTGCATGACTGCATGCCTCAGATTTGTTTTCCTGTTACATAACCGTTCAATTGTCTGCCTCAGTTTTCCTATGTTCAGCAGCATTATCCACGTAGACCAAGGACACTGAGCTTTGGCCCAGAGGTCAACATTGTTAAGATCTCTCTCTAAAAAATCATTTGGGTTTGCTAATGAAGCAGCAGGCTAAATGTGGCTTACAGTGCTCAGATGCCTCATTTGACATTAAATATAGTTAAGGTGTAAGGGGAACAAAAGCTATTTAGGGTATGTAATAAATTAAGGTAGGCTAAGCCTACCTTTTCCTTTTGATTGTGATCATGCCTGCTACTATGTGTAGAAATAATAGATAATCATCACTATCATTTAGTTCAGAACATATTTTGCTCTTATTCCTGGATAATGAAATCAGGAAAAACATAAAGTAGAAAAGTGATGATTTTAAAACCAGTATTCAGTTGTCAGTGGACTTCTTAAGACTTATACAAAGGAATCTTTTATCTTTGTGAGTCAGTCGGTGAAGTGATATATTAATATGCTGTTTCATGTGAGATGCATGGCTGGGTTGATGTTTTTCATAATGTGTTTTCTCTGTTTTGTTGACCTCCCATCACTGCTGGTTTCTTTTAATAACTTCAGTCAAGTTTACACCTTCATAATTCACCAAACAGCCAGGCTCTTAGGACAATATTAAAATCAAGTCTTATATTTCCCTCTTTTCTGTTTTATTTAATTACTAAATTATAATTCCATAAGTCCCATTTCTAGTGAAGTGCTAAGCATGTTTTACAGATTTCCTAGTTCTGGGAATATATACATTGTACCTAGGAACCAGTTTCTAACCTAGGAAGACTGTTTCTGGCAATTAAGTGTGAACCACTGAGTCTCATACATTGCTAGTATTTATATTGATTTTAAAAAAACATTCCTTTTGAGAAGAACATTTTTCTTGGTTTTGGACAAGTTCTCAGTCAGCATCCAAAACTGTTTGGGTTCGGAGTTACAGTTTCTTTGCCTCCTTTAGTTGTTCTCCAACAGCAGCTTCACCATCCTTATGGATTTAATATGCAGTTGTATTGGTCTTTTCACTGCTAGCAGGGTCTTTTCTTCTCCTGATGGACAATGGCATTAAACGTTTAACCCCTCCTCACAGACAGAAATTATCAGCACAAGTTCCATGTGTCAGAGGGAAACTATACATTGTGGGTGTTTTCCCCTCTGCTGAAAAACTGAAGTAGTGATGGGGGTCTTGTTTTTTTGACCACAGCAATTTTGTAGTTTTAAACTTGCAGATAAGCTTTATTGAATGGTATCTGCTTTTACTTCAGTAGAGACTCTAACAATTGCACTTGCTTTTGAATCTGGGAGTACTATTCTGTTTTAGAACACAATGGAGTATTATGCAGAACTGTAATAGAGACCTTTTTATTGGGCATTTCCCTCATTACATCAGAGCTTTGCAAACTGAGAAGTTGCTTTTCTTTTGCTCTGAACAATGTTTTCACCTCTCTTATAAGAAAACAGCATAAAATGCAGCCTAGCACATGAGGAGACTGCAAAGCAAATGGGCTTTGTTTTTAATTGACTTCCTCCCTGCCCCTTGCACTTTTTGGTGCTTGCACAGATGCCTAGACCTGTCACTGAAAGAGGAATTCAGGTTTTCAGCCTTCTTTTGGTGTCCTGCTCCCTGTCAGTTTTAAGTCACTTTCAGATGTCACCCTTCAGCAAACTAGTTACTATAAAGATGAAACTAACTCAGTTCGTTGTGATGTGGAATAAGCAGTACATATTCAGATGTGCAGCTACCTTCTCCTGTTTCTAAGCATCCATTTCATAAAATCATAGAAGTCGGGTCAAAGGGATCTTGTAGATCTTCAAGTCCGACCCCCAGCCTGGGCAGGGGAAAAACTGGGCTCAAATGACTCCAGC